GTCGAGCCCACCGCGCCCGAGGCGGAATTTGTCCCCGTGCCCGCGGCGCCGTCCCCAAGACGCAAGGCCGCGAGTCGGAACAAACGGCGCGGCGACATCTGAAGAAGCAAGCAAGAGACAAGCATGAGAGAGCACGTCTTCAAACCAAGCAAGAGAAGCCACAATCATTCAAGACGGGCATGAGACAAGCCAGCAAGCTAGGAAACAGGGAGACACCAGAGCGAATCAAACAAGCCAGAGACAAGCATGAGGACATCATCAGTTCAAAGACCTTTCCGAACCGATCATCTCGATCATCTGGAGGCCTTTTAAAATGGGGTCCGGGTGGATGAGGTCGGAGGATCACGCCGCATCGACGATGCATCGGCGATCCATCGGCGACGCCGGCGTGGCGATACGTCGACGACGCCAGCGTGGAGTAAATCGAGATCCACATCGACCCGCATCGCCGATGCATCGGCGATTCGGCGCGATCTTCCACCCAATCTGGGAGGCCTAGGGCCTCGCGGTTTCGGGCGTCGGCTGCTCTCGTGAGGACCCGGGAGACCGGCCTCCTCAGCCCCCCCCCTCCTCACCCGCCTCCATCTCCTCCTCCTCCTCCTCCTCCTCCTCGTCCTCCTTCCCCATCCTTCCCCTTCCTCCGCCTCCTCGTTCTCCATGCATTTTCCGTCTGAATAACTCCTCTCTGTCGCACCCCGAGACGTGTCTGTAAGCATCGTCGACGGTGCATCGGCGACGCCGGGGTGGAGAAAATCGAGCTCCATATCGCGCCGCATCGGCAAAGCGGCGCGATCCCCCGACCCTGTTCATTCGGACCCCATCTGGGAGGCCTGGACTTTCACCCCTCCCCGTTGGAGGCCGCCGGGGGCCTGGGGGGTCTGAAGTGGTTGAGACATCAGAGATTCGGTGCGGCATCACACTTGCATCAAGTTGCAAGAGCGTTCAAGTTGCATCAAGTTGCAAGAGTGATCAAGTTGCATCATCAACAGCATCATCATCAGCTTCATCATCATCATCATCATCATCATCATCATCATCATCATCATCATCAGCATCATCAGCATCAGCATCAACATCAGAGATTCGGAAATCAAGTTGCATCCGCTCAGCATCGGTCCCCAAGACCCTTCCAATGATTTATCGGGTGCCGTGTTTCACCCTGGATCCGCTTCCTGGCCATCGCTCGGACGTCCATTCCCTGTTCTTTTTTCGGCTTCGTGCGTGGATTTTTTCGCCAAATGATCAAGGATGCTCCTCGATGGCCCTCGCCGAGGAAAAAACGCACACGTCCGAGCGGTGCCAAGCTTCTGACGGTCTCGGGGCCCGGACACGGCCCCCGGGGGAACCCGAAGAGAGCCCCAAAAGCCTGCTCGAACCCGACCCCTCGAACCTGGCCTCCCAGCCCTGCTCGCAGGAACCAGTGCTGGGCCTGGGCGTCGCGGCATGAGGGGGGGGAACTGTGCACTCCCCGGGCCCTCGAGGGCCTCTTCTCTGCAGCCCTCGCGGGCCCGCCAGGTATCCGCCCCCCTCACTCCCAGACTCCCGACATCGTGATTTTTGCTCATTGCGTCGACCCCTGGAGAGGCCTCGACCCATTCCCCGGGACCGGCTGTTCATCCTGGATCGTTTTTTGACGGTCCCGAGGCCAGGGAAGGGCTCCCCAAAGCCGAAAAAAACAAAAACCCGTCATGATTGTTTCATTGCCCGAGGTGGTCTGGGTTACCCGACGCCCCATGGGCCACCTCCCCGAACGTCGCCGCCTCCTCGATCTGCTCCGCCGCCGTCGTCGGAGGACGGCCAGGGGCGGCCCCGGGCGCGTGGGGGGTATCCTCCTCGTCCTCGTTGTCGCTGTCTTCCTCATCCTCCTCCTCCTCCTCCTCCTCCTCTTCCTATTGCTCATCTCCCTCCTCCTCTTCTTCCTCCTCCTCCTCCTCCTTCTCCTCCTCCTCCTCCTCCTTCTCCTCCTCCTCCTCCTCCTCCTCCTCATGCCTCCTCCTCCACCTCCTCCTCCTCGTCCTCCTCCTCGTCCTCCTCCTCGTCCTCCCTCCTCCTCCTCCCTCCTCCTCCTCCTCCTCCTCCTCCTCCTCCTCCTCCTCCTCCTCCTCCTCCTCCTCCTCCGTCCCCACTCCTGCTCCCTCCTCCCTCCGTTTCCTCATCCTCCTCCCCCTCCTCCCTTCCCGTCCTTCCTCCTCCTCCTCCTCCTGGGCCGCCAGGCCTCCCCCGCGAGTCTGCGCCCCACCGTCCTGACGGACGACGACGACGAGCTCCTCCTCCTACCCCTCACCTTTTTTGACGCCACGCAAACTCGAGCCGCTGGGCAGTTGCCCACTGGGGGGCGAGGAACAAGAAAACGACTGGCCTGCTACTAGGCCCAGCGCGATAAATAAGGCGTGGCCGGAGCAGAAAAGAAAGAACAATGCCTGATAATCAGGCAGACAGAATGTAGGCCCAATGGCAGAAACCCAATTGCAAAAGTGTGCGCTGTCCTCTTCACCTCCTCCTCCTCCTTCTCCTCTTCATCCACCTTCTCGATTCTCCTCGATCCTCATCGATCTTGCCCCGCAGTCGAAAACTGGATCCCTTCCCGGGGACCCGTTTTTCATTCTGACTGGTTTTTGAAGGTTTCGAGGCCCAGTGAGGGCCCTTCCCTGGAGGCTGAAAACACTGAAATACCTTCCGTCGTGTTTTTTCCTCTGTCCAGCGCGAGGGGGTCTGGGTCCCCCACCTCCTCGATCCTCCTCGATCCTCCTCGATCTTGCCCGCCGTCACCGTCCCCTGAGCTCCGAAGTTGTAAAAAATGCAACATCGCGAAAAATCCCCACCGGAACCCTGGACTCCATCTTTCTGTGCCATTTTTCAAACCCGATCGATCTGCGAAGGTCCTGGGCCCCGAAACCGGGCGAATACGCCCGATTTGACAAAAATTGCAACGCCAGGATGTCAGGGAAGAAATAGGACAGGAGGAGGAGGAGGAGGAGGAGGAGGAGGAGTAGGAGTAGGAGACGGAGGAGAAAGAGGATGAGGAGATGGAGGAGGACGAGGACCAATGTAAATCCAAGAATCAGCAACGATGTTGGCATAAACCCTCCCTCCAAGTTCCCTCTTCGCAGGCCCCTACAAGGGTTCATTTCCATTGAGGGAACTGCTTCGTTGGAAGATAACCGTTTGAAGACCCTGACGCATGCAAAAACATCATTTTCGGCACCCCAGCGCCACGGATCAACCTGATGTTAGCGTCCTGAAGATCCTGAATCGCACCAGAACGCATTCCTGTGACCTGTTCACCGCGAATCAACGTAACTGTTGCACCCTCAGATTTCTCCTATGCACAATGTCTGGCACGTTGACCATGGGAATCCGTGAAACTCACTCTTGCAACAATCTAAAACGAATGTGCGTAGCGCTAGACGGGAGACGCATGTTGGAAACGACCCGCCCTCAATCCCCGAAACTCGTGCAAGTTTGCAAAAACGAATGAACGCGGCGCTAAGGCAAAAGATGCATTTCGAAAACCACCCGCCCTCAATCCGTGAAACGCATGCACATGTTTAAAAGAATGTGCGCGGCGTTGAAGCGAGAGGCACATTTCGAAAACCAGGCGCCCTCAATCCGTGAAACTCTTGCTAATGTTTAAAACGCATCTGCGTGGCACCATGGCGGGGGCTACATTTTGAAAACCACCCGCCCTCAATCTGTGAAAATCTTGCAATTGGTTCAACACATGTGCGCAACGCTAAAGCGAGAGCCACATTGTGAAAATTACCTGCCCTGAATCCGCGAAACTCTTGCACGTTCTAGAACAAATTGATACGGCGCTAAAGGGAGAACCACGTTTTGAAAACGCCCCGCCCTCCATCTGCGAAACTGTTGTTAATGTTTCGGCTTCGGCGTCATACATGGTGAAAACATCTCAAGCGAAACGCCCGGCCCGCCCTAAAAACTGGCCTCGGGGTGCGACAGTGAAACATTATTTTTGAGGAAAATGAAGGGGGAGGGGCCGTCGCCGTCGTCGTCGCCTCCTCGATCTGCTCCGCGAGCTGCTCGCCGGGCGGCCCCTGGGCATCGGCCATGAGCCAGGCTCGGGTGCACGGCGCCGACCCCCCATCGGGGGCGGCCTCTCGGGGCCGGGCGGCGGCCCAAGCCCGCACGGCTGCGGCAGCGCGCACGGAGCCCGCGGGCCATCGTCGATCCTACTTCTCCCCTGAGATCCTCCTCCTCCTCCTCCCCCTCCCCCTCCTCCTCCTCCTCCTCCTCCTCCTCCTCCTCCTCCTCTCCCCCTCCCCCTCCTCCTCCTCCTCCTCCTCCTCACTCCTCCTCCTCCCTCTCCTCCTCCATACTCCTCCTCCTCCTCCTCCTCCTCCTCCCCTCCTGCCTCCTCCTCCGCCCTCCCCTCATCCTCCTCCTCCCCTCCCCCCCTCCTCCTGCTCCTCCCCCCCCCCCTTCTCACCCCCGTCCTTCCTCCTACCTCCCCCTCCTTCTTTCTCCTTCTCCCCGCCTCCTCTCCTCCTCCTCCTCTACTCCTCCTCCTCCTCCTCCTCCCCCCTCCTACCATCCTCCCCCGTCCTCCTCCTCTCCTCCTCCTGCCTCCTCCTCCTCCTCCTCCTCCTCCTCCTCCTTCCTCCCCCTCCTCATCATCATCAATCATCAGCTCATCATCATCATCCATCATCATCATCATCATCATCTCATCATCATCATCATCATCCTCCTCCTCCGCCTCCTCCTCCGCATCCTCCCCTCCTCCTCATCCTCCTCCTTCTCCTCATCCTCATCCTCCTCCCCATCATCATCATCATCATCATCCTCATCCTCATCCTCATCCTCATCCTCATCCTCATCCTCATCCTCATCCTCATCCTCATCCTCATCCTCATCCTCATCCTCATCCTCATCATCCAATCATCATCATCATCCATCATCATCATCATCATCATCATCATCATCATCATCATCATCATCATCATCATCATCATCATCATCGTCATCGTCATCATCGTCATCATCATCATCCCCCTCCTCTTCCGCCTCCTCCTCCTCCTCCTCCTCTTCCTCTGCCTTCGAGGACCGAGGGTTTGGTTTGCTGGCTGTGCTTGTCCTTTCTTGGGCTGCGCCTCCCTGGGGCCTTCGCGAGGATCTCAAGAGACCTCGTGCCTCATCCACTCCTCCTCCTCCTCCTCCTGCTCCTGCTGCTCCCGCTCCTTCTCCTCCTCCTCCTCCTCCTCCTCCTCCTCCTCCTCCTCCTCCTCCTCCTCCTCCTCCTCCTCCTCCTCCCCCTCCTCCCCTCCCTCCTCCCCCTCCTCCTCCCCTCCTCCTCCTCCTCCTCCGTCTCCCTATCGTCCCCCTCCTCCTCCTCGTCCGCCTCCACCGCCTCCGCGTGCTCTCTCTCTCTCTCTCTCTCTCCCCCGGCCTCTCCCCCCGGATCCCCCCCTCCTCGTGCCCCCGCGTGCAGCAGCTCCGCAGACGGAGGGCGGCGCCGCTTCCAAAAAGCCGAGGGCCCTCGTCGAGCACTCGCTCGGACCCCGCGAGGCTGCCGCAGCATCGCCAAGGTCGGGGGCCCTCGCCCGAGCGGCAGGGCCGCTCGTCGCTCGGGGGGGCCGTTCTTGCAGTGAGAAGCTACCCGTCGGTCGGAGGAAGTGAATCGAAGCATGGTGCAGGAAGGCGGTGGTCGTAGATCGGGCTTCCGCCCGCCCTCCTACGTAAAAGAGGAGGGAGGAGGGAGAAGCAGTCGGCGTCTGAAGTCAGAAGGCGCGCAAAGTACACTGGGGCCTGGGCGCCCACCCACAATGCGTTCAACGACCGATGGGTATGCTTGTAGGGACTTCTGCAGAGGGAACTTGGGACGTGAGGGTCGACTGCAACATCGTTGATACATCCTGGGCTTACTCTGGTCCTGCTCTTCCCCCCCCTCCTGCTCCTCCTGATACTCCTCCCCGCTCCAAGGCTCGACCAACACAATGGTTGTCGTTTTCGTGCTGTTGTTGTTGTCCCTCATCCTGTCTCCAATCCGCCTTCGCTGCAAAACGAGATCGAAACGAAAACGGCCCACGAAATCTCCCGGTGTTCCTCGTCCTTCTCCGCCTCCACGCACGATCACCCGCTCCTTTTGTCACAGGCAGATCTACAGGTGGTCAGCGCAACGCTGCTGCAAACCCAGCCACGTGCGTTCGAGGCAGTCCTGATGCTGAACAGCACTGCTTCCTGCAGTCTGGTCGAAGCCCGCTCTTCCTTCTCTAATTACCTCCTCCTCCTTCAACGCAAGGAAGCCCAGAATCGATGAATCAGATCGGCGATCGACATGAATCGGATTGGCGGACATCGGCGGCCAACTCGGGAAAAGTCGGATCGGCGGAAATCGGCAGGGTGCAAGGCCGCCGTTGAGAAATCGGAAGCCATATCGCAATCCGAAGACGAATCAAATCGGAATCGGAATCCATCGAACCCAGTGCCCGACGTCGTGATTTGTTCCTGACGTGACCCTCGGAAGTCTGGACCCCTTCCCAGCGACAGGCTTCGCATTCCGAACCGTTTCTTGACGGTCCCGAGGCCCGCCGAGGGCCCCTGGAGGCCGAGCGCAGCAAGAGACCTCCCGTGGTGCTTCTTCTCGCAGCGCGGGGAGGTCTGGGTTTAAGCGGCACCGAAGCGACCTGGAGGCATCGAACCGAGCCCCGCCGCCGCCGCGGGCGCGGGGACCTCGCCGGGCCCAGACGTCGGGGCGACGCTCGGCTGGTGCACGTCCTCGCGAGACCTCTGCGGAGGCCCCCCCGGGGGGGCCACGGCCAGGCCGCCACACGGGCGCCCCGACCTCCGGCAGCGAGCCCAAGGGGGGGGGGCAGCGAGGAGGAGCAGCAAGCCGTCTGCAGAGGGCTCCGAGGCGACAGGCCACCCGGAAGCCTGTCGCGCAGCCCTGCGTGAGGGCGCAGGCACCGCTTCTGAGCAGGCCCCAGGGGCTTCCGAGGAAGCCCCGCCGCCTGCTGGGAGGGCCCTCTCCGTCTCACTTGCCCCCCCCCCTCGCTCGCGGCCGAGACACTGCGCAAAAGCAGGCGCCTCACCGTTTCGGCGGCGCCGCCCGGGGAGGAAGCGAGACGGGGCAGGCCGTCTCCGAAGGCGCCGGGGCTCCTCAGGAGCTTCCGGGCCTCCTGCGAAGCCGTCTCTGTCTTCGGAGAAGGCTCAGAAAATATCTCCGGAGGCCCGAGGCATTCCCGAGCCGTCTGACATAAGACCGCCCGCTCTCCGGCGCCTGGTGGCTCTTTGGGGCCATACCTCGGCTCTCTGGCGGCCGCTCGGGACGAGCCGAGCACCCCCCGCAACGCCATCGAGGAGGCGCGGCTGCCGGAAAGCATCCCGAGGCTGGAAGCCCGCCGAGGATCGACGAGAACGCCCAAACGCCTCGAGCCTCGAAGCTCGAACTTCCCTCCTGGTGTTGAGTCCTCGTGTTGAAGCCTCCTCCCTTCACCCAGTTCCGGTAAACCCCTCACACGCTGCGTGGCCCCACAGGGAGCTCCAGCTGAGGTCCCAGTGGGACTGTTCGCATGTGGGCGCCACCCACACTTCGGCACACCCGTCACGCGCTTCGCGGCCCCATGGGAAGCCTCCAGCTGGGCTCGCCGCCGACGCCCCGCGCGACACCCCTCGACGAGGCGCGGCTACCGGAAAAATCATCACCAGGTGGGAACACGCGCCGAGAACCGACGAGAACGCCCAAACGCCTCTCGAGCCTCGAAGCTCGAACTTCGCTCCTGGGCTCGCCGCCGACTTGCTTCGAGCCGCAAGGTGTGTGTGTGTGTGTGTTTATTTGTGTGTGTGTGTGTGTGTGTGTTTCTTTGTGTGTGTGTGTGTTTCTTTGTGTGTGTTTCTGTGTGTGTGTGTGTGTGTGTGTGTTTCTTTGTGTGTGTGTGTGTTTCTTTGTGTGTGTTTCTGTGTGTGTTTATTTGTGTTTCTTTGTGTTTCTGTGTGTGTGTGTTTCTTTGTGTGTGTGTTTCTGTGTGTTTCTGTGTGTGTGTGTGTGCCCCTGGCGCCTGGCGCCCGACCCGCAGCAGAGCCGCCCTGGGGGCGCGTCCCGGCGGGCTCTCCCGAGGCGCGCGGGGGCGCCCCGCGGAGGCCCGCACAGGAGCCCACCCCACGACCCGTCACCTGGGAGCCTCGCTCCTGGAAGCCTCGGCCCTCGGTCCTGGAATCCAGAGGCCTGGAGACCCCGCTCCCGGACGCCTCGACCCCGGAGTCGCGGCCTCCTCGAGCCGCGCCCCGCTGCCGGCTCTCTCGGCCGCCCTCCCGGGGCCTCCCAGGAGAGGCTCCCGACGAGGCCGCCCGAGGGCCCCCATGAGCCCACAGCTATACGAACCGCAGCTCGGGTCCTCGGCCCTGGAGCTTGGAGTGGGGGGGTATGGGAGGCACTCCAGTGCGTTCTGGCAGCGGGTCATGCAACGGCCACGAGATCGGCCCAAGAAACCCACACGCACCGCGACCTAGCAACGCCCATAGCTGTCTATACACATGTCTATTTAGACATGTAAACATATATGTATATAAAACATGTACATATATGTGTCTCTGATATTTTATGCTGTTTACATTTATGTGTATATATATATATATATATAGATTCTATATTCACATAGATATAATCAATTACGATCTATACACATAACTTCGAACCTCGATGCTCGAGGCACCGCCCCGGGCACTCAGTCATGGATCTTGATCCTCGTCTTCGCTGGCATCTTCGCTGGCGCCGATGACGTCTGAGTCGTCATCGGTGCCGTTCGCAGGGCTCGGGGCGTCCCCCGCGGCCACGGCGGAGGAGTCGTTCGCGGCGGCCGCTGGCGCCTCGTCCTGGGACGACGCCGACGACGACGACGCAAACCATGACTGGCGACGACGACGACCACTACGACGACGTTAACGACGACGACGACGACGACGGCGATTACGACGAGGAGGGCCACTACGACGACGAGAACGAGGATGACGGTGGTTGACCTAGTCGTTTCGGTGCTTTCTGACGCGCTTCTGGATCAGGGGCGTTCAAAAGGAGAGCACCCAAGGGGGGATCCGCGGACCCCCGAGGCATGTGCGCGGACTGCGCGGGGGCCACGGGACGTGCTGAAATGTAGGAGTGGGCCATGAAACCCAGGGAGGTATCATGGCCGCAGCCATGACATCCACCCCGCCAGGCATTCGCCCCCCCCCCCACCCCACCCTCTTGGCCACTTCCGAGATGACGTCCACGACGACGACGTCGACGCCGACGCCGACGCCGACGCTGACGACGACGCCGACGACGTCACCGCTTCGGTGCGCTTCTGGCGGCTCGCGCCGCCGCTGCAGGACGCAGCTAGTGAACTACGGGCAGGACGGGCCGGGCCGGAGCGAGCGTGTTTTGGGCGCCACGGCGGCGGCAGCGACGCGGGCGGCGTTCTTCCTCCTTGGGGTCTCCAGGCTCGGGCAGCATCGAATCGGGAACTCGGATCGACCCCGAGATCCTGGCGTTGCAATGTTTCCGAGCCGGGCGTTTTCGTCAGGTTCCGGGCCCCGGGACCCGCACGGATCGATGCGGCTCGAAGCATGCCGCAGAACGAGGGGGCCCGGGGCTCTGGCGGTGATTTTTTGCGATGCTGCCATGTTCCCGCAACGTCGGATCGCAGGGGGCTCGGAACCTGCGCCGACCCGCGCCGCGGCGGCACGGAGCCCACACCGAGCCGGGATCGGCTGCACCCAGATGCACCACGCCGCCGCGCGAGCATCGGGCCGCGTCGGATCGCAGGGAGATCGGCTGGGGGCTCGAGCCTGCCCGACGGGGCCAACAGCAAGGTTGCGGGACCTGCTCTGACAGTTGACGCCGCGTGCCCCCTGCGCCACTCGCACCGCGTGTCCCCGCGCGGAGCCACGCTGCGGACCCTGCGCGCAACCTCCTGCATGCCCCGTGGCGCGAGAGAGCTCTCCTGAGAGGAGGAGGAGGAGAACGAGGAGGAGGAGGAGAAGGAGGACGAGGAGGAGGAGGAGAAGGAGGAGGAGGAGGAGGAGGAGGGGGGAGGAGGTGGAGGTGGAGGAGGAGGAGGAGGTGGAGGAGGAGGATAACGACGTGTCAAGGAAACTGGACAGTCAAAGCTCACGACAGGAGGTTCAAGGGAGGGTGCGGCAGGCCCGAGCCCCAGCGAACTGGGATCCGATGGGCTTGTTTTTCCAACACCACCACCACTACAAGCTGGAGGGGGGAAGGAGGTGGAGGATGAGGAGGAAGAGAAGGAGGAGGAGGAGGAGGAGGAGGAGGAGGAGGAGGAGGAGGAGGAGGAGGAGGAGGAGGAGGGGGGAGGAGAGGTGGAGGAGGAGGAGGAGGAGGAGGAGGAGGAGGAGGATGAGGAGGAGGAGAGAGGAGGAGGAGGAGGAGGAGGAGGAGGAGGAGGAGGAGGAGGAGGAGAGGAGGAGGAGGAGGAGGAGGAGGAGGGGAGGAGGGAGGAGGAGGAGGAGGAGGAGGAGGGAGGAGGAGGGGGAGGGGGGAGGAGGAGGAGGAATAATAAGTCTGAGAAAAAGAATAAGGAGGAGGAGGAGGAGGAGGAGGAGGAGGAGGAGGAGGAGGATCCCCTCCCCCTCCCACTTGTGGTGGTGGCGGTGGGAAACAGGCCCACCAGAGCCTTAGACACTTCTTCGACCCTCACCCTCGAGGCCCCGCCTCTGGCCGCCTGCTCGCCCACCGTCGAAGCCCGCCGACCCCCGCCTTGCCAGGGAGGGAAGGCGTGCTCGGAACACTTGGCTGTTCCCCTTCCCCCTCCGCAATTACACACTATGAGTACTCCTCCTCCTCCTCGTCCTCCTCCTGCTCCTCGTCCTCGTCCTCGTCCTCCTCCTATTATTATTCCTCCTCCTATTAGTATTCCTCCTCCTCATCGTCCTCCTACTCCTCCTCTCCTCTCTCCCCGGATGACGTCGGGCAAATATCTGGCGCCCCTCCGCGTATGTTATTTTACGCACAGGACTCCCTGGAAACGGGTTTTTGCCTGGGCTTCGTTTCAAAATGCTGCTCCCGCTAAAACACTGGCCCCATGTCTGCGCCTTTGGTTGTTCAAAATTGTGCTCCCGCTGCAACGCGGGCTTTTTCGGTTCTTCCAAATAGGCCCCAAAATTTAAAACAATGCAGCCGCAAAAAACATCGAAAGTGATTCCACATTCGGTGTCGATTCGTTGATTTTTTGGGCCGCAGAAGCCCCCGCCACTTTGGGGCGTCGTCGCTTTCAGGAAATATCAAGCGGGAGCCTCGTTTCTGCTCGTTTCTGCTTTGAGAATGCGATGTTAGAAGCAGAACCAGCGGGTGCTCTCCATCAGCCCCGCCTTGTGTGGAGCTTTCCGGGGAGCCCAAGGAGCTAGACATGGAGCCACGACTCCATATCAGCCCAGACCTCTCGAAGACGATCCACTTGTCCTCCAAGGAACCCGGCGCCATGCCATAACATGCTGTGCGGTGTTGCGTTCTGCATCGCTGTACGATGCCTTGCTTTGCGTTGCAATGCTTTGTGATGCAATGCTTCGCTGCGTAATGTGCGTAATGCCACGCCATGCTATGGCATGCTGCGCTCTGCCGTGCTCTTCTACGCCATGCCATGCCGTGCTACACCATGCATCGCGTACCCTCTCGCGATCATTGCTCTGCTCGATATCCGACTGTGCGAATACAGAGGATGTCTACGTCATGCTAAGGGAGGGGAGGGAGGGGTAGGACGTCAGCGAGCGCACCTAGCTTGCCCCTGAGCCTCTCCCCTGGGGCATGAAATCCGTTGAGAGGGAGGGGGCGGGGGGGGGGCGGTACGAGCTTGTCAACGCAGTCCCGGGGCCTCCGGAGCCTCCAGAAAGGCCCAAGAGTTTCCAGACAGAACGCCAAGAACGCCAAGACAAACGCCGAGACAGCCCAGAGCTTCACGACGACCCAAGATGATTTCATGACTGCCTACCAGGACCCCAGTACGGTTTGTTAGCACACTCTCCGTTTTCGTCTTGACAGCTGAAGGCTACCAAGTGGACCCCCAAGCTCGTTACAAGACGGCCGATGAGGCCCCCAGGAAGGCCCCAAGACGGCCCAAGAGGGCCCTGAGACGGCCCCATGGGCCTCCAAGAGAGCCCCAAGAGGGCCCCAAGAGAACCCAGGAGTTGGAATACGAACTGATATTTCGAGTCTTTCCTCGCAAGATGGCCCCAAGAGCCCCCCGCAGGCCCTCCGAGGCACCCCCAAGAGGCCCCAAGAGGCCTCCAGGACGCCCCCAAGAAGCCCCCCAGAGGCCTCAAAGAGGCCTCAAAAAACCTCCCTGATAAACCCAATAGCCCGCTTAGAGGCCCCTGAGAGGCATCCCAAGAGACCGTCAGCTTCATCCAAGACGCTCCTGATCCACAGCCAAGGCACGGTGGCGGGTGGGACCGAAGGCGACTAGAGAACTTCCGCGATCGCCGCAAGCTCTGCCTCCTTCCGAGGGTCGGCGGACTGGCGCACGCCACTGGAATCAGTGCGCTCGGCGGGTGGCGTCGCACTCGCCGATGCACCGGGGACGCATCGGCGATGCATCGGCAACGTCGACGTGGAGAGAATCGGGCTCCACATCGAGCGGCATCGCTGATGCATCAGCGATGCGGCGCTATCTACAGACTCCACATACGTCGACTCCGTTTGGGCGGCCCGGAGTCACTGAAGGCAGGTCGGGCATGTCCTCCTACAGGCGGATGTTGGAAGACCATCGGAAAACAACCCAAAAATAACCAGGGCCGCGCTAACGGCGATGTTAGTTAACGGCGATGTTGGGAATCTGATGTTTGTGACACCGAGCTCGCGCAGAGCAAATTGTAGGACGTCACGAACCACACTTTCCTACATTTCAAATGTGCGAATGTATCGAGCGAAAACGGCGCAGCGAACTGTAGGAAAGCACGAGCCACCAGGTCCTACAATGGGTTTGGCCACGAACAGGTCCCACCTATGCACAGTGCCGAAACCTACATCGCCGTTACCTACACTGCCCTTCGCGCGTCTCTACGGGATAAGCAAAAATAACCAACAATATTAGAAAACTCTCTGACCTAACATACCCAAAAAGAGCCAACCTGTAGAACCAAACACCATTTTTAATACTATGTATAAGAGTATGCCTCCTACAGAGCAGGACATGCCCCTATAACGCTCCCAAGGGCTCGGGCTGTGCAGGGGCCCGGCCCGGCCGCCCGGCGGGCGCCGGGGAGACCTCGGGGGGGGGGGACCCGCAGAGACCCCCCCGATGGGCACCGCCCTCGCCGTCCTCGGCGCCCGCGACCCGCGAGAGGAGCAGGGACTGCACGGCGTCGCCCATGCGCCTGTTGGAGATGTTGATGGGCTCGTCGGGGAAGAAGACGTTCCTGGGGGGCAGGCAGGGAGCGCGCCAGGAGCAGAAGCTCTCCGCGCGCTCCGCGCGGACCTCTCGGATCTGCGCCGGGACCCGCCCGCCACCCCCTCCCCTGGCGCGCGGAGCGCGCCGGGGGCGGCGCCGGAGGCGCCGCCAGAAGGCCCCAACGCGGAGCCGAGAGATCCGCGCGGAGCGCCAAAAGTTTAAGTTATGTCTGTGGCGCTTTTTCTGACTACCTACCAGACCACCCCAACCCCACCCGAAGACCCGAATTTCGGGTTGGGGGGGAAGGGTTCCACATTTGTTTTTTCGATGTTCCCCGACTCCCTCCCCCACTGGAAATGGAGGGCAAATCGTGGCCTTCGGGTTAGGTTGGGGTGGTTTGGTGGGCGGTGATTTGTTTCTTCGAGCTCCAGTAGCCCAGCGCGAGCTCGATCTTCTGGGAGACGTTGGACAGCCGGAGGGCCTGCTCATGGGCCTCCTCGACGAGGCGGGGCCTGCGCAGACCGAGGGAGAGGGTGCCGTTGGCCGTCAGGTTGCGGCGGTGCTCGTAGTTGTACTTGACGCGCAGGGAGCGCCGTTCGACCCGGGGATCGACCCGAACAGTCTTCGTAATCGTTTTCGTTTTCATTGCCGACCCACGATGGCTTCAAGACGACCTCAGGAGCCCCCAAGACGCCCCAGGAGGCCAAGTTCACCCTCCGCGGGGCCCCAAGAGGCCAAAATCAAGTCGGACCTTAAACAGTCTTTTTCGTTTTCGTGTCGTTACCGTTTTCCCTCGTTCCGTCTTCAGTCCACCTTTTTGCTGCAGAACGAGATCGAAACGAGAAAGGCCCACGGAATCGCCAGAACATCGTTTAGGTTGACCCCTGGTTCGACCTCCACCCCCCTTGAAACAGGACGCGGGCATGGGGTAGGAGGATGGCACAACATCGCCGATGCATCGAGGATGCGTCGGCCACTCCCGGGTAGATAAGATCGGGACCTAGATCGCACCGCATCGTCGATGCATCGCCGCTGCGGTGCGATCCTCCGACCTGATCTGGTCATGTTCAATTTCGGAGGCATGTTCACATGCAACTCGACTAGAGGAGATGTCCTCTTTCTTCTCTTCCTACTCCCGCGCGCTGTTTCAGTGGACGTGGAAGTCGAGAAAAGGCTCCCTCATGTGTGACAGGAAGAGCGTGGAGTTGCGCACCCAGTGCCTCTTGTTGACGTGAAGGATTTCGTCGCCCTCCACTATTGCGTCCTGTGGCAAGCACGAAAATTGGACGTAATCACAAGCTCTTGCCGCGACAACTTTGGCTCTAACGGTCCAGCTGGCTTCTGCCACCACGCGATTCGTTCAATATTGGGCGACCTTTGATGTCGGGAGCCCCTCAAAACTCTCAGTCCTGTCTTTCGCGCTGAGTCCGCGCCGTGGATTGCTTTCTGTGGGCCCCAGTTCCAATGCAGTCAGGCTGCCTCCTCACCGCACAAGGAAGAAACAGCAGCCGCGGGAAGGGAGGGGGTTGGAGAGGAGAGGAGCGAAAAGGGAAGAGGAGGAGCAGGAGGAGGACAAGGAGTTGTGTGTGTGTGTTCCCCCCCCGCGGGGTAAACGTGCAGCGTTTACCTGTCTGCCTCCGCCTCCTGCCTCGCGGCCACACGCAGCCCCATGGCCTCCTCCAGTCCTGGGCACAAGCGGCTCCCTGGACTACCTGCCACGGGCTGCTGGAAAAAACAGCGCTCGACGGCGCGACTGCTGCGCACGAAGGAAACGCAATCCTCTCCACCTCGCTTGAGCTACGGAGGGCAACGCCGAACGCAGTGACAGGCTGGGGATGGATGCCTGTCATAAGTCGACGGAGGCAGCGCCGACTGGCAGATGAGCTCGACCGCCCCTTGCAAGCATTCTCGAGCTGGCGGCGGATGCGATCCGTACTATGTGCACCACACCGCCGGCAGAAAACAAGACTCGGGCCACTTACTTCGTGTGAAGAATAACGGATGGCCCAGGTTTTATCGGCCCCGAAGGAATAAAATTTGCTCGGCAACCAGAACAACCGAACCTGTCAAATGTCTGTGCGCACGTGCCTGTGACGTGCGCGCGACGATCATGACAAATGAACGAGCCGTGGATTCCAAGCACGGCGGTCCACGCATGCCATCTTTGGGTTCCTATCTTACGGGGTTCGGGGACCTTGGACCGGAGAGGAAATGGAACAAACGGACACATTGGCAAAACCGAGGCCACGACACGGGCCACGGCTCAAGCTTTGCCTATCAGAGTATATAACCCCTCAGAGTCCACAAGACTTTCTCGAACGTGCAAACGTAAAGCCTCTTTTGCGCAGAAATCGTCAAATAATTTCGCACGGACGGTTCTTCGCTACGGAAGGGGGGGGCAGATCGATATCTTCCATGCTTTTTTCTGTGCGCAGACGCATGATGAGCCTGGCCAGCATTCTGAACACCTTCACGCTGGTGCACACCTCGCTTCAAACCTGCATACCTCGACCTGTCAACAATCACCTGGGGCGAGCTCTGACTGTGGATGCGCGCAACACCTTGAAAGCCTGAATAAAGCCTGAATAAGCCACAACATGCGTGTTCAACGAGAAAGCTGGCGCAATTATCGCTATCTGCTCTGCTGCCTGCGAGGTCAGCGGTAAGGAGGGCCAAACAGGGCAACACTCCTGCATAAGCTGCTCTCGGCGACCCTTGGATCGGATTTCGAACGCACGACCCATCGACGACGACCTCCGAAACATCACTCTGGACTGGTGGGCCGTCGGGAGGTTCACCTCTCGAATTGAGCAGCTTTGGATGCAGCGTATCAGCAGGCTCTGGGGGTAACATGGGGGGGGGGGGGGAACACGCTGTGCGGATCCAAAAACATCTTCGCTCCCCGACTAGGCCCTTTTTTCCGCGACCATCTCCGAACTAGCAGCCGCCCCGCGAGCCTCGACGACTTGCTGGCGCGCAAAGCGCCAGAACCGATGATGCAAACCATCGCGCTGTCCCCAACCGGGGCAAACAACTCATCGGCCTCATAGCCTAGACCTTTTAGCCTAGCCTTCCTGGTGAAGAGTGACGCGGCAGCCTGCGTCTGCCTAGGCGTGAACTTCTTAGACCTAGTGGCCATGTTGCGCGCTACATCAACGCGCGCGCACGCTGGAGCTCACCTAGCATGCCTTACATACGTACCATGTCACGTCCATGCTTACGCTGTAGAGCTTCGCGCGAGAGAGTTGACCAGATATGGAGAAGTATAGAGCAAACCGATTTCCACCCCCCTATCGTCGATCCGCCCCGTTAGACCCTGGGCCTCCTAGTCAGCCCTCTTGAACCACGGCAGCATTCTGGTAATCGGACCTTTAGACTGCCTCCAAGTTTGAGTTGGCTGCTTCTCTCTCATCGACTCATGCATTCGAGCACGATCCGCCGCCGTGAAAAGTGAGCTCTCTGGTGCAAAGACCGCCTGCCAGATAGCAGCGGCCCACTAAACTGCAGGACCCGCTGCCGTATCTGCCACAAGGTCGCCAGGGGGCAAGCACTTCGCTAGCAAAGACGATCCTCAATGCGATGGCGAACGCAAGCTTGGCGGGGTAACGGGAGCTCCCTTCAGCTCGTAATGGCTAATGCCAAGCACTGCGCTGCCATGCGTCAAGGCGGGCTTGTGCCCTGAACCGCGAAGAGTCGCCATTCGATGCTTTCCATGAGATAACCATCTCCGAAAACGAAGAACACAACGATGTTGACGTTTAAACTGCTGAAATCGAAACCGCCGTTTACGAAGAGCACCTGCGGACGATTGAATCAATCCCGGGGCGAAGTCCGGCGAGATTCAACGAAGCCGAAGTAGCCAAACCCTTCGGCTGACCTCGTTCGCGCATCTGCACAGCGAGCGAATTAGCCAACGGTAGCGACCTTGCGATCGTGATAGCGTTCGTATCCGATATATATGCTTTAACCTTGTGCTTTAACCCTGCGATTGAACATACTATGAAAATCCGCTTCTGCTCCTGGTACTGTTTGAAGGAGCCGATGCCGATCTCCGACAGCCATGGGCGCGTCGTCATCAACATGCGACGAATGCCTTACGAAGTTACGCTGGCTCGCGAAAGCATCGAAGGCCAAGATCATGTAGACGCTTACAAAAATATATGTAAACATATCTTCTGCATGGAAGCCACGGTTGGCGAACAAAGGCACCGGGTGGAAGGCGGGCGCCAACCTGATCAGCCTCGGAGAAGTCACACATTGTTCTGACGATGACCCTCGGGATGCCACAACGGTGCGCTGTATCACGTCGGAAATCCACCTGCAACGATTCGTAATACTTCTCCCCGTCCCAATGGACCCCCACGACCTGGTCCCTGGACGTGGCCACTTCAGTAAGCGCTGCTTGGACCCAGACGCACGACTCAGCGCTTCTTCCCGCTCCGAACGCCCAGTGGGCCCTCTCCGCGGCAGCAGAATGGTCGAGTTGTAGTCGGTGACGCCTCTCCCGGATGCGCACAAAGCTAGCTAGCAGTAGGATTGCAAGGTGTCCTCCACCAGGATTATCTATCAATGGAAACACCATCCACATGACATGCCAAGGGAAAAGGCCAAGCCGCTCCACCGCTGCATAGAAGACGCTGAGGATGGATATGCCAGAATCACCCAACAGACGAACATGCTTGGGATGAACAGAGTCGAGCGCAGACGACGTGAACTGACACAACTTTCGCGAGGCACTCCTGGTCTCGTCTATTGCCGCTCGAAGAAAGCACTATCGATCTGCAACTTCAGCAATAGGTGAAACACCACCTTGCCATTGCAATTGTAGCGCATCCGCTTCAGCTGCTAAGACATCATCAGGACAACTTTGGAAGATGCCAGGCGCCTTCTTCACCACGATGGGCTTCCATACTTGGTGAACATGAAATTTTGCGCATCACATTTGGCCGAACCTTCGAACGCCCGGTCACGCCATTCATTTCAAGACTGCGGGCGCAGCTTACTTGTTTGTGTGGCCGTCTCGATCTCCTCTGTAAGCTGTGAGCCTAAAGCGAAAACCTTGCCCCACCACGGGTGAGGATGCTGACTTGGACCCCCAGAAGTCTGGACCCCTTCACGGGGACCGCTTGGTCATCCCGAGTCCTGCTTTGACGCTCCCGAGGCTCGGCGAGGGCCCGCGGAGGCCTAAAGTAGCGAAACACCTGCCGCCTTCCTTGTGCTACGGCGCGAGGGGGGGCTGCGTGGGCGCCCGCGACGGGGGCGCGCGCGTGGGCGCCCGCGACGGGGGCGAGGCTGTCTGGGGCCGGGGAGGGCCCCGGCGCCGCGGCGAGGCCGTGCCTCCCTCCCTCCCCAGACCCCCGCGCGCACGCGCACAGAGAGAGGGGGGGGGGGGGCTGGCGGCGCGCAGAGAGGGGCAGGGGGGGCCTGTGGGGCCTCTCCCTCCTCCGCCTCCTCCTCCTCCTCCTCCTCTCTCCATCCCCTCCTCCTCCTCTCTCCTCCTCCTCCTCCTCCTCCTCCTCCTCCTCCTCCTCCTCCTCCTCCTCCTCCTCCCTCCTCCCTCCCTCCCTCCCTTCCTCCCTCCCTCCCCAGACCCCCTCGCGTCGTGAGAAAATCACGACGGGAAGCTTGTCGCTGCGTTCGGGGGTTCCGGGGGCCCTCGCCGGGCCTCAGAAGCGCCTGCAGAACGACTCTGGAGGACAAGCCGGTGCCCGGGAAGGGGTCCAGACTTCTGGGGGTCGACGCTGCGAAAAAGACACGACGTCGGGGGTCTGAGTCCCTCCTCCCTCCTCCCTCCCCCGTCCCTCCCCCCTCTCCCTCCCTCCCCCCCCCTCCCTCCATCCCTCCCCTCCCCCTCCTCCCTCCCCCCTCCCCCTCCTCCCGCCTCTCCCTCCCCCCTCTCCCTCCCCCCCCCCCTCCCTCGCGCCGCCCCCCAAACCCGGGTCGTGCACGGCGGGCAGCCAGCGTCGGGTGAGCGTGCGCCTTCTGTGCACCCTCTGGGCCCGCAGTGGCCGTTCAAGGGCCCTTTTCTCGGGGGCGCGCAGACATGGATTGGCGATCCACGGATGTGGTGCGCGGTCGCCGAATCCATGGATCGGGGGAGGCGCGCTCCCCAAAACGCGGCCGGTGCCGCCTCGCTCGGCGGCGGAAGTCCTCAATTTCCCATGGAAGCGGGACCCGTCGCTAATGCACGCCCTCTTGATCCACATCTGCGATCGCCTGATTGTAGGGGCCCTGTGGGGCCTCTCTCCTGGAGCCCTCGATCCC